CTCCCGCGCCCCTGCGGCCTGCGAGGTTGCCCCAACGGCCTGGCCCGAAGGGTTGCCCCGACGGCTTCGCGATCTAGCCGTCGGCAAACGCGCGCGTGCTGGCCGACGCGGCGACGGCGCCGAGGAAAATCGAGTTGCTTGCCGCGACCAGGGGGAACGGGAGGTGCACATGGAGAAGAGGCAGGAGGATGAGGAGGGAAGGGGCATGGGGGAGGGCGACGACGAGGAGAAGGTGGCGCGAGAGGAGGAGGAGGAGGAGGAGGAGGAGGAGGAGGAGGAGGAGGAGGAGGAGGAGGAGGAGAAGGAGGAAGAGGAAGAGAAATAGAAGGAGGAAGAGAGGGCAGTGCAAAGGGCGGGAGGAGAGGATGTCCGCCAGGGGGAGGAGGAAAGGGTAAAGGGTAAGCTAAACAGGTTTTCATGTGGGGTCCTACCGTCGGAATAATTTGGGGGCCTCTCAGGGGTCTGGGGTGTGTTGGAGGACTCTGGGAGTCCCGAAGTCTTCTCAGAGGTCTCTGGAGGCCTCCTGCTCCCGCTCTTGGGCTGGTCCTGGGGTGGTCTGGAGCTGTCCTGGGCGCCTCTTCGGCAGTCTTGGGGCCGTCTTGGCCCGTCTTGGGGCCGTCTTGGGCGGTCTCGGGGCGGTCTTGGAGGCCTCTTCGGCCGTCTTGGTCTTGGAGCGTTGGAAGCATGAAATGGTGAGAAGGCCGAAAACCCTGAAACAAAAACAATGAAAATCAACGATTTTAGGTTCTCTGGGCGCTCTCGGGAGGCCTCTCGGAGCTCTCTTGAAGTCTTTTGGAGGCCTCCTGGGAGCCTGGAAAGCCGCCCGAAAGCTATCCTGGGTTGCTTGGGAGCGTCTTGGGCCTTTATTTCAAGTTCTGGGGGCTTCTTGGGGTCGTCTTGGGCTGTCCTTGGGCGTTTTGGGGGCTCGCGGTACCGGGAGCGTTCCGCAGATGTTCCGGGAAGATGTGGGACACCGGGAGGAGGGGGCGCACATTTGTTGAATTTGAAGATGGAAAAAAAAAAAGGGAATGTCTGAAATTCCTTGTTCTTTTTTTTCAAATTCCTCGGTCTTGGAGCGTTGGAAGCGGGAAAACGTGAGAAGGCCAAAACAATCGACAGAAACCACTGGAAAGCAACGATTTAACCCTCTTCGGGCTCTCTCGGGACGGCTCCCGAAGCCCTCTTGGGGTGTTTTGGGGGGCCTCGCTGGAGCTTGTTTGGGGGCCTCTCAGGGGTCTGGGGTGTGTTGGAGGCTTCTGGGGGGTCCCGGAGTCTTCTCAGAGGTCTCTGGAGGACTAGGGCTCCCAACTTCGCGCTTCGCGCTGCGCGAAGCGCGAAGCGCGAATAACTTCGCGCTTTCGCGCCGCCCTCCCAAAGGGAGAATAGGAGGACGAGGAGGAGGGGGAGAAGGAACGAGGACCGCGAAGCGCGAAGCGCGAATAACTTCGCGCCCTCGAGGGAGCCCTGCTCCCGCTCTTGGGCTCATCTTGGGCTGGTTCTGGGGTGGTCTGGAGCTGTCCCGGGCGCCTCTTCGGCAGTCTTGGGGCCGTCTTGGCCCGTCCTGGGGCCGTCTTGGGCGGTCTCGGGGCGGTCTTGGGGGCCTCTTCGGCCGTCTTGGAGCGCTGGAAGCATGAAATGGTGAGAAGGCCAAAAAACCCTGAAACAAAAACAATGAAAATCAACGATTTTAGGTTCTCTGGGCGCTCTTGAGAGGCCTCTCGGAGCTCTCTTGAGTTCTCTTGGAGGCCTCCTGGGAGCCTGGAAAGCCGCCCGAAAGCTATCCTGGGTTGCTTGGGAGCGTCTCGGGCAATTCTTTCAAGTTCTGGGGGCTTCTTGGGGTCGTCTTGGGCTGTGTTTGGGCATTGTGGGGGCCCCGGGGAGTGCGGGAAGCGCGGTACCAGGAGCGTACTCGAGATGTGAGCGAGGTGGAGGACGCCCCGGGAGGGGGCCCGGCGTATTTGATTATATTACTGCCAGACTGCTACACCTGCCCAGTTCTTTAGAACTGAAGCAAGAACCCCTAAGTGCAAGCACTGTTTGGGGAGTAACCTGCGCTCTCAAACTCCTGGGACATGCAAAAAATCAGCGCATCAGCGTTCCGAGGGGCATTATAGCTACAACTCGACACACCCTCACGCACTGCGTGTCACAATACTTGTAGCTGCACTCTGATCACCTTCAAGCTAAAAGGAAGCCTCAATTGCAACGCTGACGGCCCTCAGTTGGCTCCCCAGACCGCCCGATTCCCCAAGGGACGCCAAACTGGGCCCCCAGATTCGCTGGCCCAACGAGCCAGAGGCGTGCTAAGATCTCGGGTAAGCACTCTGGGCGTAGGTGGTCTAACGATACCTCCCGTTCCTCTTCCAAAACCCCTCTTCCCTTCGGGGAGGGGTACGCTCCCCCTTCCTCTCCCTCAAGCTTTTTTTTGAAGGGGGGGGGGCACGAGGAGTTAGAGCGTTCAAGATAACCCAGGATGACTCTAAGCGGGCTCCCGATACTCCAAGATGGCCTCCAAGATGGCTCAAGATAACCGAAGATGGTTCAAGACAGCTTCCGACATGCCTCCGAGGGGCCCCAGGAGGACCGCACGACGGCTCCGAGTGCTCTCGGAACTCCGTCAGGACCCCCCGAAGGGGCAAAAACCTTGATCTGCGCCTTCTTGCCTTTTCGCTTCCGATGCGCTTTTCAGGCCTCAAGCTGGCCTCCTCCTCCTCCTCCTCCTCCTCCTCCTCCTCCTCCTCCTCCCAAGCTGGCCCAAGAGAGCCCCAAGAGGAGCCCAAGAGACCCCACAGCGGCCCCGATGGCGCCCCAGATCGGCCCAAGAGCGCCCTTAAAGCGGCGACTTTTTGAGGGCTTCAGAGGGGGGAGGCAAATCGAGAACCACCCCTCCTTTGATCGATGCCATTTATGACTACCTACCAGACCACCCCAACCCAACCCGAAGACCCGAATTTCGGGTTGGGGGGGGTAAGGGTTCCACATGTGTTTTTTCTATGTTTCCCGACCCCCCCCCACTGGAAATCGAGGGTAAATCTGAGCCTTCGGCTTGGGTTGGGGTGGTTTGGTGTGTGGTGAATTTAAGATGGCCCCAGGAGGCCTTGCAGGGCTCCCGAAAGGGCCCAAGGAGAGCACCAAGAGGGCCGAACCACAATTTCAAAAATTCCCGCCCTCCATCCGTGAAGCTCTTGAAACATTAAAATGCATGTGCGCGGCGCTGAGGCGAGAGCCGCATTTTGAAAACCACCTGCCCTCAAACGAATGCGCGCGGCGCTAAGGCGAGAGCCACATTCAAAAAACGGCCCGCCCTCAATCCGTGAAACTGTTCCAAAATTTCTAAAGCGAGTACGCGCGGCGCTAAGGCGAAAGGCACATTTTGAAAAGCCATCGAGTGCCTCCCAGACTGGCCCCGAGCACGAATCCATGACCAGTCGCTACGACCAGTCAGGCACGCAGAACGATTACACTCTACGGGCCAGAGGAACGAGCGACGCGAGCACAGAAGTTATAGGAAGTCCCAGGGTGGAGCCGTTGGTGTTGCAGCTGGGGGCCCAGGTGGTGCACAGCGTGGCCTTGAACAGCCAGGAAGGTCCGAGAGAGCCGATGAGCGGACTTCAACTGAAAAACAGTGGGCACGAGTGCGGCACCAGTACGGCCAACAATAGGATTAAGTCGGACGTGTCCCCCTGCAGGGGGATTTGCGACGAAACATAAAAAACACAAACATACTCCAAAATGGTTACAAAATACTCAAAACATAATCTCCCGACTATGTTGTACTATTTTTGAATATTCCCCCTGTAGAGGGACAGGCCCGACTTAACAATCGGATCAAGAAGTTTACCACTTATGAAAGCTGGGCCAGCTTCCCGAAGTTACTTGAGCACGAGCCCGGGCAGGTTTCCGTCGTTGACGCCGGAGGGACGAAGGCGCTCAAGAAACTGGGCCAGCTTTCCCGCCAGCAGGTCAAGGAACGCTGACCCACCTCGTCGGGAGGAGGTTTCTTGGTCATACCCTCGACTGTGGTGAGGGATCAACAGTAACACTTCCCCCCAAACATAGAAACTCAACAATCCGCACCGCGGAGCCCCACTTCAGCCACGCACCCAGGAACAATGAAAGACGGAGCGCATGTCTGACTCTGCATCTGCGCCCGTGTGCCTCTGAGACACGTGGAAAGCAAATAACTGGCGATCAAAAGGCCACGAGGGCTTCAATTCGGCGCACTCGTCACGCACTTCGGGCCCCACGGCCCCCCCGGAGGCTCTCACATAACCTCGCAAGAAGTTTCTGGGAAGCGTTAGATTCGCACACCTTTCACGTACTTCGCGCTCACAAGGCCACGAGGCTTCAATTCGGCACACACACACACACCACACCTCTCTCTCTCTCTCTCTTTCTCTCTCTCTCTCTCTCTCTCTCTTCATCTCTATCATAGACACTTTGCGCCCCACGGACCCTCCAAGGCTGGCATAGCCTCTCAAGACGGCCCAAGGGAGCCTTCATCTGGCACACCTCTCAGATGCTCCGTGCGCAAAGGACTCCCAAAGACCCTCTGGGGCTCCAAACACATCCAAACCCCGCCCGACCCCGCAAGGCACGCCGCGATGGCCCCGAGAAACATTGCAACGATCGGTACTGCTTCTCGTCGAAGCCATACACTCTTAAAAAACGGACAGCAATGTTTGATAATGCCCCCCTGGGGGCCCGACGTGACCCCCGCTCTGCGGGCTGATTAAAAGTGCACTCGGTCTGGAACCGGGTCGACCGCACAATGGCAGCGTGGATCACGGATGAGCTACGAGGGACGACAAAATTCGTCGAAACCGACGGACCTGGCCTCGCAAAAGTAACGGCCGCGACGCCCTCTCGCGAACCGAAAACGGCCAATTCACTAGTCGACGTGCCAAGGCAGGAGGTCTATCAAACTCTGCTTATCTTGAATGTGCCGAGTTGCACAACGCGGCCACAAGCAGGAGGCCCCAGGCCGTCCCGGGCCAGTCCTTGCGGAGCCCCGACGTGGCGCGCGAGAGCTCCGCGAGGCACTCCAAGCCCACCTTGCTCTCCTTCCGCAGCCTGCAGTGCGCCCGGGGGCCGCGCCTCCTCCTCCACCGACGCCCCCATCCACCTCCAGGCTCCACCTCTCCTCCTCCTCCTCCTCCTCCTCCTCCTCCTCCTCCCTCCTCCTCCTCCTCCTCCTCCTCTCCACCTCCTCCCTCCTCCTCTATACCTCCTCCTCCCTCCTACTCCTCTCCTCCTCCTCCTCCTCCTCCTCCTCCTCCTCCTCCTCCTCCTCCTACCTCCTCCTCCTACCTCCTCCTCCTCCTCCTCCTCCTCCTCCTCCTCCTCCTCCTCCTCCTCCTCCTCCTCCTTCCTCCTCCTCCTCTCCTCCCTCCTCCTCCCCCTCCCTCCTCCTCCTCCTCCTACCTCCTCCTCCTCCTCCTCCTCCTCCTCCTCCTCCTCCTCCTCCTCCTCCTACCTCCTACCTCCTCCTCCTCCTCCTCCTCCTCCTCCTCCTCCTCCTCTCCTCCTCCTCCTCCTCCTCCTACCTCCTCCTCCTACCTCCTACCTCCACCTCCCTCCTCCTCCTCCTCCTCCTCCTCCTCCTCCTCCTCCTCCTCCTCCTCCTCCTCCTCCTCCTACCTCCACCTCCTTCTGCTCCTCCTCTCCGCTCCGCCTGCTCCGCCTCCTTCTTCTCCTCCTCCTCCTCCATTTCCTCCTCCATTTTTACGCTGGGCGAACTGAAGGTACGGGCCTGTAGCGATAGTGCGATAAACATCCGACACAGAGGGCTGCTACCAGTGCGGGCGCAAGAATGGCCAGAAGAAATAGAAGAAGATGAAATGCCCAGAGAGAGGGCTCAGAGTAACCAAGCATGTAGCCGATGGGAGGAGGGAAACATAACACCAACGAGTATGAAAATATGACTCTGCTCCTCCTCCGTCTCCTCATCCTCCTCCGCCTCCTCCGCCTCCTCCTCCTCCTCCTCCTCCTCCTCCTCCTCCTTCTCCTCCTTAGGGTAACGAGCAATGACATAAACATAAAAGCTCGGAGGTCCGCGCGGATTTCTCGGGTCGGCGCTGGACCCCCCTCCCTGGCGCGCGGAGCGCGCCAGGGGCGGCGCCGGAGGCGCCGCCGGGGGTTCCAGCGCCGATCCGCGAAGTCCGCGCGGACACCCGAGTTGTTATGTTCATGTCCCTGTTCGTTCCCCTCCTCCTCCTTTTTCCTCCTTCCCTCCCTCCCTCCCTCCGCTTCCTCCACCCCTCCTTCTCCTCCTCCTCCTCCTCCTCCTCCTCCTCCTCCTCCTCCTCCTCCCCCTCCCTCCCTCCCTCCCTCCCTCCCTCCCTCCCTCCCTCCCTCCCTCCCTCCCTCCGCTTCCTCCGCTTCCTCCGTTTCCCTCCGCTTCCCTCCTCCCTGCAGCCCCCGCCCCGGGGAGCGCGCGGGGCCCGAGAGCAAGAGCAGGCCGGGCAGGCGTGGATCGACTTCCTCGCCCAGGCCCCGCGGGCTCTCTCTCGTCCGTTGTTTCTAGAGGAAAGGGAACCATGCACATACACCGATTCTGGAAAGGCCCATCCTGAGCCCAGGATGGGTGCATACGCCCAGGTACATGCACCGATCCTGTGTCAAGGATGGGCGTTGTCAGGATCGGGGCATGTGCACAGTTCTCTTCGCCCGAGTTTATGCTGACGAGTGCGGAACTCCCCGATACCGACTCGGCGGTGGACAAGCCTCCCTTTCGTAAACCTCCCCTGACTGAAAGCGGTCTGGGGCCGAGACCGACGGACCTGGACCCGCAGAAACGACGGCCGCGACGCCCTCTCGCGGACCGAAAACGGCCGATTTCTTGATCGACGTGTCCTCGCCATCGCTCGGACGTCCAGTCCCTGTGTTTTCTTCTCGGCTTCGCGCGTGGCTTCTTCGCCACATGATCCAGGATGCTCCTCGATGGTTCTCGCCGAGAAAACAACGCACACGTCCGAGCGATGCCGGGTGTCAGGGCAGGAGGTCTGCCAGCCTCCGACCGCCGTGGAGCGAGCGAGCGGCCCCGACTCCGAGCGGCCGGCCGACCTGCGGGCGCGCCTTTGCCGGCCGAGAGGCGGGCACGCCCACGGCGGTGGCCGTGGCCCGTGCCGTGCTGTGCCGGCCGCGCGCAGCCTCACGGCACGCGGTGGTGGGCCTCCCGTGGCGGCACGGGTGCCCTTGCTCGGCGGTGGACCAACGACGCCTCCTCCACGCTTCCTCGACGCTGACCCCAAAGATCCCACGCATGGAACAAAGCAAGGCGGAGGTTGTTCGCAGATTTCGGCCCCCAGGGGCCCTCGCCGGGCCTCGGGACCGTCAAAAAACGACTCAGGGTGAAAAGCCGGTCCTGGGGAGTGGGTCGAGACTTCTGGGGGCCCCGCACTGGAAAAATCACGACGTCGGATCTCTGGGAATCGACGCTAACTCGGCGCTGTCTCGTCGACTCCCAGACGCTAACCGACGCTAGAGACGGAACTAAAAGGGCACACGCGGCTCACATGATTTGTTACCGAACCTTCCCCCCCTTTCCCTCGGCGGTGGACACACCTCCCTTTAGTAAACCGCCCTTAATGAAAACGGCCCAGGGCCGAAACCGACGGGCCTGGACCCGCAAAAACGACGGCCGCGACGCCCTCTCGCGGACCGAAAACGGCCGATTCGCTCATCGGCGTGTCAGGGTAGGAGGTCTATCCACCCCCGAATTTCGTTGAAAGTTCGTTGAATAGGGAACCGAATAATAACATAAACATGACAACTCAGAGGTCCGCGCGGACTTCTCGGATCGGCGCTGGACCCCTCTCCCTGGCGCATAAAAATAAAAACCCAGAAGTCCACGCGGTGGACAAGCCTCCATTTTTGTAAACCGCCCTTTAGTGAAAACGGCCCAGGGCCGAAACCGACGGGCCTGGACCCGCAAAAACGACGGCCGCGACGCCCTCTCGCGAACCGAAAACGGCCGATTCGCTCATCGGCGTGTCAGGGTGGGAGCTCTATCCACCCCGAATTTCGCTGAAAGTTCGTTGAATAGGAAAACGAAGAGAGACATAAACATAACAACTCGGATGTCTGCGCGGACTTCTCGGATCCGCGCTGGACCTCCCTGGCGGCGCCTCTGGCGCCGCCCCTGGCGCGCTCCGCGCGCCAGGGAGGGGGGTCCAGCGCCGATCCGAGAAATCCGCGCGGATCTCCGCGTTGTTACGCTGATGTCATTCTTCGTTCCGCTATTGATCCCGTCTCGGGGCTGCCAGCTTCAACCAACTTCCGTTCGGTGCTTAACCAGGCGAGCCCGGCCGATGCCGCCAGCCCATGGGGGGCGCCTCTGGGGGAGCCCCATGGGTCCCCTGGCGCGCCCGGTTGGCGCGGCGCGCCTTGAAAGGTCCCTGGGACACACACACACACACACACACACACACACACACACACACACACACACACACACACACACACACACACACACACACACACACACACACACATATCAATACACACACAAACAGCCAGATTCCCCCTATTTTCTTATATTTTCGATTTTTTTTGTTTTCCCCCCCACTTCCCATCTTTCTCCCTATTTTCAGGGGAATCGACGATCAATTGTGTCTCTGTGTGTGTTGACTTTCCCTCCTTACAGGGGCCCCGCTGTCCATCGCTCGGACGTCCATTCCCTGTGTATTTTTTCGGTCTCGCGCGTGGCTTCTTCGCCAAGGGGTCAAGGATGCTCCTCGATGGTCCTCGCCGAAAGGAAAAACGCACACGTCCGAGCGATGCGCCGCGCCTGGAAGGGGCCCTGGGACACACACACACACACACACACACACACACACACACACACACACACACACACACACACACACACACACACACACACACACACACACACATCAGTACACACACACTTATCAGCACACACAAACAACAGGATCCCCCCCTATTTCCCCATATGTTCTGGGTTTTTGGTCTTCCCCCCCAGTGGTTTTTCGCCAAATGGTTAAGGATGCTCCTCGATGGCCCTCGCCGAGGGAAAAATGCACACGCCCGAGCGATGCCAAGCGGCCCCCTGGCGCGCCTGGTGGGCCCGGAGCGCGCGGCGCACCCGGAGAGCGCGCGGCGCCGCTCGCGAGGCCGCCGCGCACCCCGGCGTCGTCGGCGGGGGCCCCGTGCCACGAAGAGCGCCCCGCTCGCCTCCCGAGGGCGCCCCGGGTTTCTTATAGGGCCTCGCTCGTGACTATACCCCGGCAGCGGGCGCCTCGAGAACATCGAGGCGGCGGTGCTTCGTGGTTTTTTCGGCCCCTCGAGGCCCTCGCCGGGCCTCGGGACCGGCAAAAAGCGACTCGGGACGAACAACGGGTCCCGGGAAGTGGTCGGGAGGTCGGGGTCCCGTGTCCCGACAAAATCGCGACGTCGGATGTCTGGGTACCTACCAGACCACCCCAACCCAACCCGAAGACCCGAATTTGACCCGAACTTCGGGTTGGGGGGGGGGGTACGGGTCCCATGTGCTTTTTCCATGTTCCCCGACCCCCCCCACTAGAAATGGAGGGCAAATCGGGGCCTTCGGGTTGGGTTGGGATGGCTTGGTGGGTGGTGAGCTTGTGCGACGGAAAAAGCGTGGCGTTCCCGCACCAAAACCCGAGGGACGCCCGGGGTCTCGGGGCTGGGCCTCTCGTGGGAGGTCTCTGGTGGCCGGGCCCCTGCTCTCGCCGCCACCGCGCTCTCAGCGGCTGGTGTGCGCCGGGCCCCCTCGCCTTTTGTCAGGAATGGACAGACCACCCTTTAGCAAAACGTGGTTTGGTGAAAACGACCCGAGGCCCAAACCTGGCGGGCGCAAGCCTGGAAAATAACGGCCACGGCGCCCTCTCGAGAACCGAAGACGGACAATTCACTGATCGACGTGTCACTGTTGGGGGTTCTGTCCACCTCCGATTTTGCGACGCAAGAGCAGATGCCCCCCCCGACGCATCGAACCCGCGGTGCGTTCACTCCTCGCGTGGCCTGCCAGGCAGAAACACGGCCCCGCACACCGAGCTCAGGAAAGAGGGGGGCTCCGTGGGCCCTCCCCCCCTCCCCCCCCCCGGGGCGCCTCCCCCCCCCCGCCCGCCCGAGCGCGGTGGCGTGAAGTCGGGCATGTCCTCCTAAGGAGGGGGATTTGGGACGAAAAATTACATGATCCAAAAAAATATTCCCAAATGGTGAGAGAGAAAAGAACTGAAAAATAGTCCCCAGACTATTTTTCTCTACTATATTCTTGAATACTCCTCCGGGGGAGGGACACGCCCGACTTCACGGTGGCGGAATCGTGCCGCAGCGCACCTGGACATCGGTTGTCCGGTGCCCGCGCCTTCCGAGGGCGACCTCTGCCGACGCGGAGTCCCGGCCTGCCACTCGCGCCCCGGGAGTGCAGGCGGGAGCGAGCGGGGCAGCCTGCGGCGCTCCCGCAGGGAGCTTGATCGCGCTGCATCCCCCCTCCCCTGGATCTGCGAGGGGGGGCGCGAGGAACTGGAGGGCTCCATATGGCTCCAAGATGGCATCGTACCTCCCCAGACTGAGCTGGCACCGTGCAGCTCAGGATGGCCCTCAGCATGCCTCCGGCATGCCCCAAGGCCGCAACAAGTCGGCTTCGAGTCGGTACGGAACCTCCCATCGATATCCAATTACACCTGAGAAAATCCAAATGAGTGGGTGATTTGAAAATTGATACTATAGATCTTGAGATCGATTGTGACATCGATTGTGAGATCCATGGTGAGATCGATAGAGAAGTGGGTAATGAGATCGATGGTGAGACCGATCGAAAAGAAAATCGACCAAGAACCCGGGAACCCAAGAACCTCGCTGCCCCCCGAAATCGGCCCAGAACCCGGAACCGGGAACCCGGGAACTCAGAACCGGGAACCCGGGAACCCAGCCAGCAACCAAAATCGGCGGGACACTTTCGCCAAATCCTTCAACATCCGCGAGGACCCCTTCAGTGCAAGCACTCATTGGGGAATTGATCGAGCATCAACTCAAAGAAGGAGCATTTGTTCCTTCAAGTATGTGTGTGTGTGTGTGTTCGCCGTGTTTTCGCTTCCGATGGGCTTCCCGGAGTGGTTCCAAGATCGCCCAAGAGACCTCCCAGGAGGGTCCCTCTAGGACGGCCTCCAGAGCGCCCAGGAGCCCCAAAACTGGTCAGAGGGGCGTGCTGTTTTGACTCCGAGAGGGAGTTGTTCATTCTAAGACCGCATATGTTTGATCGACAGCGTCCTGAATAGGCCCAGAAGGCAAAGCAGGCCCCGAGGAGGGCCTTCGAGAGCCCCCAATGCTCCAGAACATCTGCCCGACAACGCCCCGAGATGGTTCCAGGATGCCACAACCACTGGCATCATTTGTATACTCTCGCGCGCCTGGTCGACATCTGAGAGATTGGAGCAGTCCCTGTTCGGTCACTTTGACCAGCCGCTGCTGGAAGGTAGCATTGAACGTGCACGTTGCACGATGATCTGGCCTACAGCGGTCGTGCGCGAGCATAACATTATTTCCCACTGACCCAGGCGTGACGACCTGAATGGTGACCGAGGTCCCACTTCTACGCTGAACTCTGTGCACAAGCAATGGACTTGTAAAAAGGAGCTGGCACTTGAGACTCCCCGAGTTCTTGACGAAGCCCCCAGCGCCCAGGCAATGCAACGTACAACCACACTGAAGCGCTGGAAAAGAAAGCCAAGCCCACACTTCAGCTTTCTGGCTGCGCCAACAGGAAGCGCCTGAGTAGCGACGTTTTGTTACGAGACAATAGCGTATCACTACCACCAGCTAGTCGGAAATATCGTGGTCGCTTCGTGTGGCTTGCCCGCCATGCTAAGAATCACCGAGAAGCATGAACCTGGCAAGACTGATGAGCCACAGTCGTTTCCTCGCCGCTCTCGCGAGCTGTTACGGCGGGGCAGACGCCCGAAACGGGTGCGTAAAAAGTGGGTACGACGTCGAACAGCTGATGTGGTCCTAAAGCGACAGCGGCAGCTGTTGAGCAGGCGGCCCTCTGTCCAGAATGGACAAGGCACGCGACGGCACGAACGGCAGATACTGCTCGGAGTGGGCAGGCCATGCTGCGGTCGTCGTCCCCACTCTGCCCGTGCCCTTCCTGATCCCCCAGGCACCCTTGGCTGGGGTCCTGGGCCTCGCCCCGGCAGACCAGGGGGGCGCGCCAAGAGGTGGCCCTCGGGGCTATCATCCTCCGCCAGTGCCCCTGCGGTAGTTACACCTGCCCGCTCCTGGCGCGCACCGTCCCGCCGGAACGGGGAGCGGGGAGCCCGAGCCCCGCGGGGGGCTGGAGGTCCGACCCCGTCATCCGGGGCAGCGTGTGCAGGGGGCCTTCGCTCAGAGAGTCCGCAGCGTGAAGAGGCCACGACCTGGTGACGAATGAGAAGGGGGGGATAAAGGAGGAGCGACGCTGACAAGCTCTACGTGTAAGCGTGGATCACAGGCTGATTCCGGCGTCCGCTTCCAAGGAAGGCGGACGCCGGTTGCGGCGCGACTGCAGTGGTCAAGTGCGACATGTCGAATCCACTTGCGCGCCCAGCTCCAGTTCAGTCTCCACTTGCCTGTCTGTGCCTACTGGACAGATCGGTTGCCCCGCGGAGGAGGAGAAGGAGGAGGAGGAGGAGGAGGAGCCACTCCGTCTGCAGTTCGTCAACGTTGATGCTGTCACTCCTGCTTGTCCCAACCCCAGGCCATGACGTCCTTGGAGTGCACGCCGTAGCGCGGGCGTAGGAGGTGGAGGAGGAGGAGGAGGAGGAATCCGACCGAGGAGGGCGTGTGCAAAGCAGGGGGGGGCTTCGAATGGATCATGGCGCTGGCTGCGTGGGGCCGCCTCTCGAACTGCTTGTTCTTCTGGTGTTCCCTCAGCTGCGCCCTCGCGTGGAGGATGTCGAGGCTCTGCTGCCTTCGGCGGGGCCCGAAGCTCCTTCCTCCTGATCCAGATGTCCCCTCCTCCACCCTCTCTCCACCTCCACCTCATCCTCCTTCCTCGCCAAAGGAGCGACGAAACAAGACGGGCCTTACGCGAGATGGCGTAGCAACCTGGCGCCGCGGCTTACACGGGCCTCCAGCGCGGCACGTCGCATTGGAGACGAGGGCGCTTACGCGCGACCTTACGCGGGCAGCTTACGCGCCAGCGTCGGTAAAGGCGACCCCTTCTTTCTGCGTCGCTTTCGCCTGCGAATCCGACCTTGCCCCAGTCCCGGTTCCCGCCCAGCCTGCGTCACCGCCCCCGTTCCCCTCGTCGGGCTTCCCCTGCCCTTCCTCCCCCTCCTCCCTCTTCCCCCTCTGCCTGCCCAGGGCAACACATCTCGTTCCTGGCGGCACGGCAGCGTGGTCTCGAAGGGGACGCACCCGTGCCGCAGGCCAACGCCAAGAGCAGCCGACGGGCTGGCGCCCACTGAGGCCGCCTGTGCCCTTGGGCACGCCCTGCAGTCGAGGGGCCATCGCCCACCGCGCCGCCCCTCCCCCCAGTCAGGGGGGCCCAGCCCGCTCGCCGGAGCGCCGGCCAGAGAAGCTGCTCTCGGCCGCCTCAGCCCGCGACTCGTCCTCGAGTCGGTAACCGGCCCCAGTCCTCCTCCCTCACTCTCCATCCCCCTACTTGAGCGGGCCGAGAGACACACGCACACGCACGCCCCGCCGCGACCGCGCGTGCCTGGACGACCGAGCTCACCCGCAGGCAGGCGGAGGCCGACCGCGCGCAGGAGAGTGCTGCCAGCTGACCACTGCGACCGCTCCTCCTCGCCATCCTCAGCATGCTCGTGCTGCTGATCATCATCCAGCTATCGCCCTTGCTGATGATGCTTCTCATCGTCCTGTTTCCCCTCCTCCGCCTCCGCTTCCTCAGCCTCCTCCTCCTCCTCGTCCTCCTCTTATGCTATCATCATTATCCTTCTCCTCCTCCACTCCCTCCCCCCTCTCTTTCTCCTCCACCTCGCCCTCTTCCTTCACGTCCACGTCAAAGTATTCGCCGTCAGGTCAGAGCCTCTACGTCATACCGTGCAGCCTCGGCCTCAGGGTGTGGCCCTGGATGCCCAGCGGCACCTCCTGGCCTTGAGGTGTGCCCCTGACCGCTGTCGTGGCGGGAGCGCGGCCAGCCCCTTCCCACGATGGGTGACGATCGCTGTCGTGGCGTAGGCCCAGAGGGTCCCCCTCCCTGACTACCTGCCAGACCACCCAAACCCAACCCGAAGACCCGAATTTAGGGTTGGGGGGGGGGTACGGGTTCCACGCGTGTTTTCTCGATGTTTCCCGACCCCCCCCCTACTAGAAATCGAGGGTAAATCTGAGCCTTCGGGTTGGGTTGGGATGGTTTGGTGGGTGGTGACTCCCCCCCCCCTGCGCCACTGATAACGACATCGGGAGGCCATCAGCATCGGCATCATTGCCAGCATGACCGTCATCAGCATCATCAGCAGCATCATCATCAGCGTCATCATCAGCGTCATCAACATTAACATCGTCATCAGCAGCACCACCATCAGCAACATCATCACGGCACCCTGGCACCCTGGCACGGGCACAGAGCTGGACCTGCAGGAGAGGCCGGCCGAGGACGAGGTCGAGAAGGATGTGCATGCCCGGCATATGCACAAGGTCCGAGAGGGCTGGCGCTGGTGGAGCTGGCAGCAGTTCAAGCGCCAGAGGCGGCGGGATGTGGCGCCGACGCAGGGCGTCGCCTACGACGAGGCCCGCGTGAAGTTGGCCAGGAATGCGGCGCGGGCAGGAGCAGGGACGCGGATGCACGTGATGTGCGGATCCTTCCTGTCGCCGCTGGCGGCGAAGGCGGCTGGGGGGGGCAAGTTCGATGAGGCATGCCACTGCGTGTGGCCAGGGTGCGGGGAGGCCCTGCCGGACCAGGACCACATCATGTGGGGGTGCCAGCACAGGCCCCGGCATGCGCCGAATCGACCGGCGGACGAGCTGCAGGCGCGCTGGGGCTGGCCAGCAGGAGGCAGCAGGGAGGAGGATGAGCTCCTGCTCCGCTGGATGGAGGAGGTGGCGGAGCGCACGTGGGATGTCAGATATCCCGGCCGCCAGTGGAGACGGCGCGCGGAGGGCGCGCGGGCGGTCGCTCCAGGGAGCGAGAGCGAAGGCGACCCCCTCCAAGGGGAGGAGGAGCAGCAGCAACAGGACGAGGAGGCCGAGGAGGCTGAGGAGGAGGAGGAGGAGGAGGAAGGGCGGGCCCAGGAGCGAGGAGGCAGGGCAGAGGCGGGGAGGGCTCGCCACGAGGAGCGGGGAGGCAGAACAGCGGCAGAGACGGAGAGGGCTCGCGACGAGGAGCGAGACGGCAGAGCAGAGGGAGGAGGAGGAGGAGGAGGAGGAAGAAGAGGTCGAGGAGGGGTGGGGGCACCCGCACAGGCGGATCCCACCAGGAGGGAGCAGGGGCGGAGGTGGCGGAAGCAGCAACCTGCAGACGCCGGGGATAAGCCTGCAGATGCCGGGGTAATACAAAAGGAGGAGGCGGCGGAGGACGAGGGCGAGGGCAAGGAAGAGGAGGCTGAGGAGGGACAGGAGGGCACAGAGGAGTCTGTGGAGGAGGAGGCGGAGGAGGTGGCCGTTGGGGGGCCCGCCCCCAGGTAGCATCGACTTTTTCTTATTCATTGTCGTGCCGCTGCGCGCCAACACCGGCGCGGGGCCGCGGCAGCAGCAACATTTCTCTGCTCAGCAACATCATCACCGCTATCATCGTCGACATCACCGTCATCACCATCATCACCGCCAGCATCATCATCAACATCATCAAACTCATCATTAGCACCACCACCATCATCACAACCATACTAATCACATTCATCGTCATGATAATCATCATCGTTAGCATGACCCTCGTCATCATCACCATCGGTATCATCATCCTCACCACCAGCATCACCGTCAGCATGAACATAATCATCATCATCATCATCATCATCATCATCATCATCATCATCAGCATCATCATCACCATCATCTGCATCAGCATCATCGTTCTTAGCATCCACGTCATCACCATAAGTATCAACAGCATCGCCGTCGTCATTAGCATCATCATCATCATCATCATCATCATCATCATCATCATCAGCATCAGCATCAGCATCATCATCATCATCATCATCATCATCATCATCATCATCATCACCAGCATCATTCTCATCATCATCATCATCATCATCATCATCACCATCATTAGCAGTATCATCAGCAGCATCGTCGTCATCATGATGTTCTGAGTCACTGGCTCTGAAGGCTCTGTGGGTGCACGAATGCGCACTTGGGGTGGCCAAAAAGTACCGATACCGCTACTCCCGGGACCCCTCCTGGGGAGCTTTCGGACCAAAATTTCAGGCGAACACCGCGGTGGCGACGACGGCCTGCGAGGAGGCCCATAAAAGGGGAAAACGGGCGAGTCGTGGTATGGGTACTTTTTCCTCCTCTGAGCGCCTGCCTGGAGAAGGAGCGCTCCCCCTTCAAACCCCCGTCCTCCGCCTGGTGCTGCGGTTTCCGCTCTTGCTGTTCAGACTGTCCTTAGACGCAAACCGCTCCGAGGTGTTTTTGTTTAAGGCGCTGCCCCTGGCCAACTCCTTGGCCCCCTGAGCTCCAGGATCAGTCTTGGGGGATGCATCCGGATGCCTCTCTCGCCGTGCATGCTGGGGAAAAAACTGGGCAACGCTCCGCGTCGCTCAGGGTCTTGGTGTTTTTGCTGCCCACTTCTGGGCTTCTTATTAGCTCCACGCCGCTGACCGCAGACAGAAACATGGAGCCCGAGGTCGGCCTTGGACTATGCCTGCCACCACTTTGCACACTTTTGAACATTCCATGGCAGCTTTGTCGGGGTAGGTTGCCCGCGCCGCGTTCGGCGACGATGTTCTGCTATTCTGGGCCCACGACGTCCTTCCACGTCTTCCTCGTCATGTCTCTCCCGCCTCAGCTCCACTCAGGGTGCTGTTGGGGTGAGACTGATAGAGACACCTGATCTGGACATCCCGCTGAGGGCGGTGGAGAGAGCAGAGGCAGCTTGTGGCCTGGCGGCTGCGCACCACGTTATCATGCGCACTTCCTTTTCCCATCTTGCCACCCCTCCTCCTCCTCCTCCTCCTCCTCCTCCTCCTCCTCCTCCTCCTCCTTCTCCTCCTCCTCCTCCTCCTCCTCCTCCTCCTCCTCTTCTTGCAACATCAAAGGCAATTGGTATGCCACACGCACGCGCACTCTGAACTCGTCCGAGACCGCGGCGACAAAGTAGAGCAGCGGCAGCGCCTGGTAGAGGAGCACCCCCAAGTTCCAGCCTAGCTGGCCGCCGCAACGCGCAGCCCGGCAGCGCAGGCGGCGCGGTCCACCCCGAGGGCGGTTTGCAGCTGCCGCGCCTTCGCGCGCTGCACGGCCACGCTGAGTTTAGCGCCCCAGCGCTGCGCGAGGGCGCTGGCCACCGCCGCGGCCCGCTCCTCGTCGACCAGCTCCGCCTGGTCGCGGGCGAGCTGCCGGAGGTGGCGGAGAGCCGCCCTGCCGTGCCGGCCCCCTGTCTCCAGGACCAGCGGCAGGCGCGGCCAGGGGCAGCGCGTGCCCGCTGGGTAGCGCCGCCGCTTGTCGGCTTCGGCGGCGGCGTTGACGGCGCCCTCGTGCTGGGCCACCGCTGCCAGCGCGTCCCCGTCACCGGGCACGGCGTAGCAGACTGTCACATCTATGAAGACAGCCCGCCCGCTGCACCTCGAGGTCGAGGACAGTTTCGTCGCAGCGCGCGCCCAGCGGCTGGCCGCAGGCGCCGCAAGGTCCGGGCGGCTGGAAGGTGGCGCCGCGCGCGTCGCAGTGGGCGCAGCGCCACGTCCAGCGGTCCCACGCGGGGACGGGAACTTGGCGGGCCGTATGAAAGCCGCACTCGCGGTGGGTGCGCTCCCACACGGCCTCGATGTCCCCGCTGCGGGCCATTGGGCCGCCGCCGCAGGAGCACCGGTAAGCGTGGCGCCCATAGCTGCAAAGCGGCTCCCGCACGTGCGCAGGCGGCTCGCGCGGAGAATCCCCGGCGGCGCGAGGTCCTGCACCAGGAACTCCCGCGCGGTGCTGCAGAACTCGTCGCTGCTGAAGCGCTGGCCCGCCACCCCCGGCGCGGCCTGCTGCCAGCTGATCGCGTGGGGCCCCCTGCAAGAGTTTAGCTTCGCCTTGTCCTCGCTCGTGCTGGAGTTGCGCAAGGCCAAAGGGTTTTTGTTGGTCAAGCCTTCTCGCAAGCTCTTTTTGCACTTTAGTGAAGGATTGTTCGGCCAGGTCAGTCTAGGCGGGGAGGGCGCCGGCCCCCTCCCCCGGCCCGTTGCCGGGCGGCGGCAGCGGCAGCGGCAGGCGGGTGGCAAGCGGCCGCCAGGGGCTGCTGGGCCTGCTCCAGGTCGTCGAGCGCCGTCAAGCCTGTCTGGGCCCGCACCTCGGCCAAACCCTGCGCCCAGGAGCCCACCCACGCCGCTGGCGCGACCTGCTCCTGGCTTCGGAGGCCCTGGCCGCCAAGGCGCAGCGGCAGTCTGCACTGTGCGCGCTGGGGTCCGTCAGCGGGTCTAGCCGGGTCAGCCGCTGGTAAGCCGCGAGGAACGCCTCGTCGTAGCCAGCAACGGCGGCGGCGGTGCTCGTGGGCGGCGTGCCCCGGAGCACGTGCGTGAGCTTTCCGCCCGTTGCCTCGCGGGCAGATTCGGGGAGGCTTCCCCAGGCAGGTCCGTGAGCTTCTCGAGGAGGGCGGCCGCGCGCGTCGCCACGCCCGCGCAGCGTGCCGCCGCGCAGCCGGCTGTCCCCAGGGGCACCCGGCGCTCGTCCAAAGCGTCCGGGAGTCCTCCTGGCGGCGGCGCGTCGGGCGGCGCCCCTGCTAGCGTGAGCCCCTGTGGTCGTCAATATTCCTCCAAAGCCGCTCCCCGCCGGCAGACCAAGCCTGGGTCTTGGCGGGCTGCAGTGCGAGGCCGAGGTCCCCCAAAGGGCGCGTTGCGCGGCAGGCAATACCTGGTCCGCCAGAGCGGCAGTACCTGGTCCTCCTCCTCCTCGTCCTCCTCGTCCTCCTCCTGCTCTTCCTGCTCCTCCTCCTCCTCTTCTTCTTCCTCGCAGAAGAGGCGTGACATGCTTCCCGGATCCATATTCATCACTCTCATCTGGAGCATCATCAACATCAACATCAACATCAACATCAACATCAACATCATCATCATCATCATCATCATCATCATCATCATCATCATCATCATCATCATCATCATCATCATCATCATCATCATCATCATCATCATCATCATCATCCCTGTTCCCATTCTGACAACCATCATCGCCCTCCTCCCCTTCCTCCTCGCACGGGAGGCATGCCATGTAATCCAGCTCCAGCCGTACAGCATCATCGCCCCACCTGCGCTGCCGCAGCGTGGGGGTTAAGGAGAGGACGCACGGCGGGAAAAATTGGGTATCCAGGAGAAGGATGAAGGAGGAGGAGGACGAGGAGGGCGAGCAGGAGGAGGAGGAGGAGGAGGAGGAGGAGGGGGAGGAGGAGGGGGAGGAGGAGGAGGAGGAGGAGCAGGAGGAGGATGATGATGATGAGGAGGAGGAGGAGGAGGAGGAGGAGGAGGAGCGGCAGTGGCCAGCAAGGGGGAAGGGCGGACAAGGGAAGGAAGACGAGCCAGAGAGAGAGAGAAGCGAGGAGCAACAGCAATGTACAGTCGGGGCGTTGACCTTAAGGAATCCTAAATCAGGAACGAGGCCCCTTTTTTTCCATACATGGAACTTCGATGTCCCATCGAACACCTACGGAAAACCTGAGGCAAGCTGCGAAACACTTCAGGAACGCGGAGCCCCTCCCCGACCAAAAGGGCTCCTTCTTCAGGGCCCCGACGGCAGAAGAAGCAGTGGGCTGCCCTTCAAGAGGGCTCTCCCGACCTCGGGCGGCGAGGCCGACCACAGCGAGCATGGGACTCCGAACACCCTCCCTCGGCCATAGACGTTGCGGATTTGGTCGCCTCTGCGTGCCAATTACTGCAATCGAGCCTCGGCATGGTCTTCCAACCCGGCTGGGATTATATACGTACAGTCGGGGCCTTGACCTTAAGGAACCCTAAATCAGGAACGAGGCCCCTTTTTTTCCATAAGTTAAACTTCGATGTCCCATCGAACACCTACGGAAAACCTGAGGCAAGCTGCGAAACACTCCAGGAACGCGGAGCCCCTCCCCAACCAAAAGGGTTCCTTCTTCAGGGTTACTGCAATCGAGCCTCGGCATGGTTCAAATCAGGATAGGCGTTGCTGCATGCGTCAAAGACTGAAACAGCGGAGGCAAAAGTCTCATGAGCCATAGTGATGCTATACACACGCGGCCTTGGCATCGACCGTACTGGAAGACGTTCGGATGAAGGGAGGAAAAAGAAGAACAGGCTCAAAGCTGGGGCAAACAACACACTGCGCCTTCCTGAAACGACCAGTCGTGCACCACGCATCGCGCTGCGTGCGGAGGAAGGAGGAAAGGACGCACGAAGGGAGGAAGGGAGAAAAACTGGTTATCACCGTGGTCAGGTCCATCTCCTGATCCTGAGCGACGTCTGGGTTGAACTTCCCAGCAGGTCGAACAAGCACTGAGTTGCACGAGTAGCTGTCAGAAACAATCAAACACGCCTCAACTTGTTTTACGGCGTGAGGAAGGAGAAAGGCGGCCGGGCAGAGAAAAACAGGCATGCCAATGTTCGAGCACTTGTCGAAAATGCGGTTCCCTCTCTAGCGGGCTGCAATGTCCACGCAACGACAAAGTCGTCGGCGGAGGCGCAAGCTTCGAAGAGGGACTTGATGTCAAAGGACGCCTGAGAATGCTCGGCAGCACGGCACAGAGCATCGCGGCCAGCGTGCTCCAGGCGCCTGCCTTGGATGGGGCAGGCGGAGAGAACGCAGGGAACAGAGGAGGGGGGAAGGGAAAGCGAAACGAGGCGCAGAAATCACAGCCTGCAACATGCCCCGCTCAATCCGAGGAGCATGCTGGGTTGGGGTGGTGAGCTGGGCAAGGTGTGCGAAAGCACTGCGCGCGAAAACATTACAGTGGCTCAGGGACTTCGGAGACCCCCGGCCATGGCTCCGAACAAGCTGGCTCGTGGCCTGGTGTTTTGCCAGCGGCTCAACCCGCGTGGCAGACTGGCACCTGTGCCGAAGGTGAACCCCCACATACTCCCCACATAACTTGAACCGCAAGGCCTGGGAAGTCAGCCTGGGCAATGGCGCACAAGAGCTCGGAGGACGAGAAAGGCTCGAGCAATACTCTGATAACTTTGTCGCATTCGCAGGGCATTGGGCTCGAAGCCTATTGCAGAACCAGCCACCTGCCAGATGCGCAGAAAGAGGGACATGCTGAACACGATGTCTCCCGATGTCAATCCTAAATCGCCTGCGAAGGCTCTGAGGAAGGAGGTGCAGGGTGAAAGGCATGCGGCGCGCCACCGTACAATTGGTGTCGAAGCACACGGCGAACAGGTTCCCAGATGGGGGGGACCTTGTTTTGATGCCCCTCTTGCAGGAGAAGCCCAATCCATAGACGCCCCGTAATGGACCTCGGTCCACACATCCTGGTAGAATGCACAGATGGCCTCAATCACGTTGGTCGGGATCACATGGTGGCAAGAGCCAAAAAGTAGCCCCGTGCAGAAAAGATGGAACCACAGCTCGTATCTCAAAGAACGCGAGCCCGGTCCGACTCCTGTTGCACTGGCCAATTCGAATACATGCACTTGCCCTCTAAATCGATTGTGTTATTGAGATTGCTGCGATTCGGAACGAAGCCATTTTGGGAGAGGTCGCAAGTGACGGTGCATACATATACGACTTCGGCTTGTTGATGCAAACGGCAACGGCCTTGCCGCAGGTGCTCAGAGGTGTGAATGGACGAGCTGTCCTCGGAGTCCGCTGGGCAGTCGTGCATTCCTTCGCGTCGGCACTCCTGGAAGCACGAGAGCCCTCCCCCACTTGAACCGCCCGGGCGCGCTGCGTGCTCCCCGTGTCCAAGATATGGCGCAATAGACATCGCAGAAAGCTCTGCTCCTCCTCCTCCTCCTCCTCCTCCTCCTCCTCCTCCCCCCTCCTCCTCCTCCTCCTCCTCCTCCTCCTCCTCCTCCTCCTCCTCCTCCTCCTCCTCCTCCTCCTCCTCCCTCTCCGCCGCCGCCGCCGCTGCCGCCGCCGCCGCCGCCGCCGCCGCCCGCCCTTCCCGAAAATGGCCAACCCCTCAGTCCCTCCATCCCCCTCCCGAGCAGAGCAGGGGGCCCCGTCAGGACCTGGACCGGTATCAGAATTCGAGGCTAAGATCTGGGCGAATTCGTCGCGACATAATTTTTCTACTCCAGCACAGGATGCGCGGGAACCACAAAGTCCCTGAGTTCTTCCCAAGCATCGCCTGCACCAGCGAGTTCGGCGTGGACCTTGCCCCAATCATTGGCAAATTTCTTGGCCACCAGCGCGGGGTCGACGATGGCATTGCCAAGCAGATCCTCGACAGCCCCAGAGTAAAATTACGACACCGAGTGCTCGAGGCACTGCGATGTTGGCACATCAAGACAAGTTCCCGTTTCTCTTGTTCATCAGAACTAGCAATGGGCAGCTGCCTTGTCGAGGCCCTCCCTCTTCTGATGAGAGACATGCTTGAAAGTCCACTGGGTCGGCACGGTCGGACCTAGAACAGAAGAACATCCTTCAAAAACATAGAACCCTCCACCAGCCAAAACACACGGAACATCCAAGGGTACCCTCCCCAGGATGCAGAAGAACATCCAACGAACACGAAGAGCATTAGGGCACCCTCCCCGAACCGACCTCGACCTTATACAGAAGGAACAACAACGCCACAAACATAAACTGTTGGCGCTCCACGCGGATTTCACCGATCCGCGCTGGACCCCCCCTCCCCGGCGCGCGGAGCGCGCCAGAGGCGGCGCCGGAGGCGCCGCCAGGGGGGGGGGGCCCAGCGCGGATCCAAGAGACCCGCGCCCGCGCGGAGCGCCAAAAGTTTATGTTTACGGCGTCTTTTCTTCTTCGAATTGGGGTATCGGCGGTGGACAAACCTCCCTTTAGCAAACCTCCCTGTAGTGAAAACGGCCTGGGACCGAAACCGACGGACCTGGACCCGCAAAGATGACGGCCGCGACGCCCCCCTGCGAACCGAAAAACGGCCGATTCACCAGTCGACGTGTCGGGGTAGGAGGTCTGTCCACCCCCGAGGGCACCCTCCCCGAACCGACCTCGCTCTTTTGCCTCGGCCCGGCCAGAAGCCGACACGCGATGAGAAGGAACGTGCCGAGGGTAGGGGGAGCACGGCCACGCGCGACCACGGCGCCGCAGGGGCCCAGGGCCCGAGGAGCACGCGGCGCAGCCGAGGCCAAAGAGGCCCCACGGCACCGACCTTGCAGACGTGCTGCAGCGTGTTTTGTTGCGCGGACCTCTGTCGATGCGAAACCCCGAACTGTTTTTGGGCTTCATTCCTGGCCCCCCAAAAAAGCCGCACGAAATTCACTTCGAAATCCGGAGCGACATTCTCCAGGACACTCCGGGCCCATCCTGTTTTTTTCGGAACGAGACTCGCTCTGCGATGTTGGCGCCATGAGAAGCACACTCTTCTGCCGACTGAGTTCTCGTCGCGCCCTCATTTTCTGGGCCATCCCTAAGGGGAACAAATAAGGACGCAAACATATAAAAGCTCGGAGGTCCGCGCAGATTTCTTCGATCTGCGCTGGACCCCCCTCCCTGGCGCACGGAGCGCGCCAGGGGCGGCGCCAGAGGCGCCGCCGGGGGGGGCCCAGCGCGGATCCAAGATATCCGCGCGGAGCGACAAAAGTTTATGTTTATGGCCGTTTATTCTTCCTCGAGACTGTATCCCCGTCGTACCCTCATTGTCTGGACCATCCTGGCAGCGCGACGCACTGCTTCGATGACTTCGGATAAGAGGGCCCCGCGATCCGATCGGGAACATGATCGAACAACTCGTCAAGGTTATGAGCGCTCCCAACCACTCCATAAAAGGGGTGCAAGCCTATCAAAGACCCTGTCGGAATCGAAACGTAAATCCGACCAACATGTGTAACTGAATGCAGGAACCGCTTCAACCCAACATGCTGCATCATGCTGGATCACCTGATGCGTGAATTGTGCTTGGTCCATGTTGCACAGAGCGGAAAACAGCCGCTGGAAATTGCGCCCAAGCCCGTGGTAGGAAACGACACATCCCCGTCAAGAGGAGATCGCCCTTCTCCGACTTCGAGGTGGTTCAAATCCCCTCCGACCAAAACCGTCGCCTGCGAGACCAGTTCCAAGGCACCTGAGATCATGTTAAGTTGGGACTTTCTCACCGACACGGAGGGCTTCGGGCCCAAGTGCATGTTCAAGATCTGAAGA